CCCCCGGGGATAGGGTGGTGCAACAATAGGGAATCAAAGTTTGATATAGAAATATATATGAAAGAGTATTAAGCATTTTAAAATCTTCTCAAGAACAGCAAAGCCTTGATTAGTCAAATTAGCAACTTCATGTAGTGTAGATTTATGTTTGTTCAAATGAAGACCCCTACCCCTCCCCCAGAGGTAGGGTGGGGTCACATTTGGCTTTCAAAATTTTACATTACATTAAATCTTTAAAGATGGCCTGATATACATTTTAAATTCATGAACAGACAGGTACTGTTGTGCCGAGAAAGGATGATGAGAAATCGAGTCTACGATTGTTTGAGTGACTAATTTTAAAAATTTACAATGAGTTCATTTTTTGGTTGAGGCTAAAGGATTTGAGCTATATATTTTAAGATTCCATACTAAATTTGAGCATTTCGTAGGTTGGAAACACTCTTATTTCCATGATTTTTATTATAATGTAACGATCCATATCAAAACAAGCTGATAAATAAAGCTATTTTGAAAATAGAGAGCAAAAACACTCTTAAAGTTTTGCAAAATTTCAATTTTTAGGAATAAATGACCCATGTTTTGTTCCAAGGCAACGGCAGCTATTTTGGATATTTAATCTCGAGAATCTTGGAGAGACATTTACACATCAATATTATGTACATATAGTTTGAAATACAATTGGAGAAAAAAAATATAAAAATAAAGGATTAACACCCCCCCCCCCCCGGAATATTGAATCTGGTGTGGGATTTCCTTACTAATAGGGGAAATCCTACTCTAGAGTCATTTTTCCATGGTGGAAATCCTACTCTAGAACCTATTTCCTGGGGAAAAATTCTACTCTAGAGACAGTTTACCGGGAGGGGGGGGGGGGTTAGAGAGGAAAGCTTTACTTAATAAATGAAGATAGGAATTCAAAGTACGCAAATTTATTTATTTATAAATTATTGTACACGTGAATGTAAATTTATTATGAATAAGACTGAATGTTCTCAGCTCGACGAACACATAATAATTGATGTTGCTAGTTATGTAGGATGTTGGGAGTAAAGGTTTATCTTCGTCCCTGCTAGTTTTAGCCTACTGTGAAAAGAGCATCGTTTAGGCCAAAAAAGATTAATTAATAGTTTCTAAGGCCAAAATTTTCAAAATGCAATGCGGCAGGCAGGTTCTTTCTAGCTTCAAGTTTGTTCAAATAAAAGCCACGCCCTCTTTCAAGGAGAAATTATTAAGAATTAGTGAAAATTTGGTGTCATCTTTCAAAAATCTTCTTCTCAAAAACCAATAAGCATGAAAAGTTTAAACTTATGTAAAACTTTCATTACATAGTGTATAGATTCAAGTTTGTTCAAATAATGACCGATGGGGGTAGGGTGAGGCCACAATAGGGGATCAAAATTTTACATAGGAATATACATAGAGCAATTTAAAAAAAAAAATCTTTTTCTCAAGAACAATAAAGATGTAATCAGTCATACTGATATGCAAGCATCATCTCTTTTTGTAGATTCAAGTTTGTTCAAATCGTGACCCCCGGGGTTTGGGTGGGGTCGCAATGGGAAATCGAAGTTTTACATAAGAATAAATATAGGGAAAAACCTTTAAAAAATCTTCTTCTCAGTAACAACAAAGCCATTATTAGTCATTTTGATATGGAAGCATCCTCAGGTAGTGTAGATTCAAAATTCAAATGATGACATCCAGGGGTATGGTGGGGCCACAATGGGGGATCAAAGTTTTACATAGGAATATATAGGAAAAAAATCTTCTTCTCAAGAATAGAAAAGCCATGTTTAGTCTAATTGATATAGAAGCATACTCAGGTAGTGTAGATTCAAGTTTGTTCAAATGATGACCCCCGGGGATAGGGCGGGGCCCTAATGGGGGATCAAATTTTTACAAAGCTGTATACAGGAAAAAATCTGCTCAAGAACAGCAAAGCCATTTCTTATACTGATGTGGAAGCATATCCTCAGGAAGTTTAAAATTCAAGCCCTCCGCCCCCATGTTAAATTTTTAATACTGAACAGATTTGTGCTCTTTCCTAGTCAATGTGCTCAGGTGAGCGATGTGACCCATTGGCGTCTTGTTTTTTTTGTTTTTTTTTTTAGGGGGGGGGGGGGGGGAGGGAGCGGGTGTTATACCTCTTTTCATGTCAGTTGTTCAACATAATGATGATATCGACTGGTTTTTACTTCTTTGAACATTTCTAATAAGAACGTCTATCTAGTAGCATTTTGAAAAGGGAAATAACTCGATTTTCCTTTTCAACTTAAAAAAAAAATAGAGAATTGAGTTACTTCCCTTTTCAATATGTCAATAAAATTGATCAATGCGGCAGTTTTTTGACCTGATGCGGCGGTGTCTAAGAAACTATTGATTACTTTTTCTGGCCTTATAAATACGAATGTAAAGGGTAGAAATGTACAATAGAACAGGAAACTTTTAGATTTCTTTGTTACCGTAATAGGCACGCCGTTCAGGACCTCTGGATATTGTGTTTTTGTGTCTTTTTATGTGCCATGCAATGAGTATGGTCGGTGCATATTGCATTTGTCATGTCTGTCTTCCGTCCTCCCAACTGTCCTTCCATGACACTTTGCGTTTAGTTCAGTTTCAAAGAAACTATTCAATATATTTTTTGTCAATATTCATATGCTTACACATATTGATGAAAGATTTTCAATTGCATCAACATTTTTTAACTTTCTTTCCTTTGACCTTAAATTTACCTCACTTTTCTTTAATTTGTGTTAAACTCAGTTGGAAAGAAACTTTTCAAGATATTTTTATGTAAGTTTATGCGCTGAAACATTATTTGGTAAGAATTTAAAGAACTGTGTCCATTTTTTTTTTTACCTTGACCTTCTCAATGACTTCTGTCTTTACTATTTATTGTGTATAAAACTCAAATTTAGAGAAACTATTCAAGATATTTTTATCAAACTTCATCCACTAATGCATTTCATGTTGAATTATATCCTGTGGACCTATTTCTAGTTTGGGTTTTTATTATTATTATTTTTTTTTTAGGCTAGATACAACCAAAACCTGAAATTTGGTCCTATTGTAAAAATTATAAACGATTAAATTACAGTTATTTTCGTTATATTTTCATCCGCTCTACCTGTGCTAAAATCAGTACGAAGAGAGTTAACTCTTAAACACAATTTACTGTAGATGACCTTGGTGAACGGTTTCCTTACCTCAACCACTACTCCATAATTATCCCAATCGTTTATATCCATTGTTTGTTTTGTCTCAGATTCCAAATGCTACGCTTTCGGAATTTCCTTGGAATCTATAACTGAACAAGAAAAACATGAATTAATCATAATATTTCTGATTTTATTTATTATATCCAGGCCCGTAGGAAGCAATTTCACTTTGAGGGGGCACAACCATACATTTTCAGTTGGAGGGGCACTATCAACTACCAAAATTCCTTTACAAGCAAAAAAAAAAAAAAAAAAAGGGGGGGTCATCAGACGTTATTATTGAGGGGGGACAAGCATCTAAAAGCTATGTATGTTTTCTATAGTATTCTAAATATCGGCAAAATTATTGGGGGCACGCCCCCCCCCGTGCCCCCCCCCCTCCCGGTTCCTACGGCCATGATATCAATCTAAAAACACTGAAAATTAACGTATTTTAGTCGGCTGTACATTTAAAGAGAAAAATTTCAGATTCAGAGAATTCCACGGTTCTTCTTTTTAATTGCAAAAATGCTTCTCTCTTTGAATTACAGGTATCAAGAAATATTTATAAGTCACAAGGTGTGATGTTACCAATGTGATTAAAATAACACGTAATTTGAAAAAAATATATATTTAAAACATCATAATCAGATATAAATATAAAATATTTTTAAAAAAAAAAATAGTACGAATTAAAAATTCAATTTACATGTAAAAAAAAGTTTTTAAAAAATTAAACGATATATTAAAATGAAACCAACATTAAATCAATTATTCATGTCTTGTTTTGACGCATTGACTTGTTGTGTAATGTTTCATTCATTCATTTATTCTCTCAAAAACCATATGAATGGTACAAGAGGTACATATATATACATATTTACAATAATTATGGACGAGCAGAGATTACAGGAAGACAGACAGTGTCAAAAATGTTGGTGATAAATATACACAATTTTCTTAAGAATGATGGATCAGTATTTGTCAATAAATTAAAAAATTTTATAACATTTGGATGTACATAGTATTTCTTTAACAGAAAATCTTTTCGAATATTACATAATACATTACATTCCAGTAAGAAATGAAATTCGTCTCCTTTTCCAGGGAGGGTCAAAAAATTCTTGACCAAAAAAATAAATAAATAAATAAATGAATAAATAAATAAAAGGTAAAATCCATTTTCCAAACGTGAAAAACACCTATTTCGTGGTGGTGATGGTGGGGTCCACGTTTTCTGGGGGGTGGGGGGGTTGGTTGGTTGGTTCCAAAGTCCTTTTTTTTTTTATATTTGCTTCAGCATATACTTTTTATAACTCAGCAAATTCCAGGGGGACTCCCCCCCCCCCCCCAGATCCACGCATGATAATGCATAACTTTTTAAAATCTTTATGAAATATCAGGGACCTTTACATTAACGTTATATACATGCAGGTCCTTGGTAGCATATCTTTGCTTATATACTATAATTATAGGATTTTTTTCGAACAAGTTCAGCCGCAATGACCTCGCGCTCGCCGGGGATTATAAAATTTTAATTTTATGTGGTCTGATTAAATGGGAATTTATCAGTGCTAAAATGATAGAAGCTCTGTACGCTTTGTTTACATCACGATTGTAGAAAGGGAACGAGGTTTACAATCACGATCTATTCATAACATTCACGCATGACAGAAACTGCGCGCGCAGATCCGTTGCTATAATGGGTTCATCGATTCTTATTAATATTCATGAATTTACCTTATAAGGACGTGACAATTGGAAAATTGACCAATCAGAATATGCCATCAAACGTAAACACTGTTGCGTCGATTATTTTAGAGTCGTCAGCTGAGAGAGGAAAACAGAGGAATAATACAACGAAATATTCACTGAAAATTATCGAATTTTGAAATTAAGTTTGATCAGCTTTGTTGAAAGACATCTAAAGACTGTTAATACGTGAGTATGAACAACATTTATCGCCATTATTCTTGTAAATTTTAGTCTTCAAGTTTGACAGCTGCATCGATTTGACCTTCATAATGGCTGCCAGTTTGTTGTGTATATACGCTGTTATAAAATTGGTGCAATGAGAAGCAAGCATGCATATTCGTGAATCAATTACATAAGTAGAATAAGTAATCCTTCCTAGATTTATTAGATAACATATGTTGTATGCTTTTTCCTGTTTATGTAAGCCTATCGTTGATGCGTTCTTTGTCCAGGTTCGGGCGGATCCTCCTTTTATCTGGTTGTGCTTGTTGAATCTTGATCGTTCAACATTAAACTCGCTCCATTGTAAACGCAGGACTTGTATATCGTTTATACGAAGCGTAGACCTGGAAATTAGAAGTTTTTATTGCAATTTGTAGCCTTAAGTGAAATGCTGTTTGATGGTGGGATTTTTTTTTTAATCAAAATCAGCTATATGTAGCAACGCTCTGATCAATATATTGATTTCTCTGAGAATTGATTTCTAGTTAGAAGTTCCTATCATCATGATGTGAAATTCTCAGTTAGAAATCATTGGAAAACTGTGTAATAAACATTCTCTTGCAAGCTTCAAAATCCTGACCTATTTTTAGATGCATAAAATGGCTGATGCAGCGTTTCTGTGTATTTTTAGATACATGATTTTGCATATAGACATAGATCACCATCCAAAGACGCATGTTTGAAAATTCCATGTATAGCAATATAACAATATTTTTTTGGAATATTTTTCTCCAATAAATCGATGTTTAATTTTTTGATTAAAAATGATAGGAATTCTTAACTCATTTGAGTTTATATCATAAACCATTCATTGATTGTTTAAATGACTGAATTTTGATCAATGATTTTTTTTTTTAGTAATGTTTCCTTCAATTCATGTCTCTATGACAAAATAATATAAGAAGAAGTGGAAAGTTGTACATTTATGAAATACCAAAGTGTTAAATGCATGACCAATCATGTGATCCTTGTAAACAATTTCTCCACATTGCATCATTGCCCGCAATACCCTGTTTTACCTTGAAAAATAAACTTATGAGGCCACCAGGGTATTTAAAAGTTAACATATGCTGTGTGTCATTTGATTAGGATAAGGGAGCACCACAGGACTTTTTCATGCTTAACAATTCAAACAGGTATTGTTTTCCTCCTGTTGTGTGGAAAATAACAATAGACCTCTAATTGACAAGTTTACAATTAAGTATTGTTACTTCATTTTTGGCATATTTATTCAAATCTGTAAAGGTTTAATATATGAACCTTATAAAAACAGATTTTTTAGGAAGATACCTATAATTATGTCTCAGGGTCTAATAGTTTTTCCTCTTAGCTTCTATAACATATAGTTCTTTACACCACATCGTGTAAAGTGGGTGATATCATTTCATCAGTTAGACTGTATTACATAATTGCACAGGACACTTCATGCATGTTACCTAATGGTTCATGGTTGACTGAATTTTTACCCCAGAGTATAATAGTATAGGAATTAAACCAGGTAGTTATATGATCTTTAACTCAAATATCACAAAATTGCTTGATAAAATTCACTCAGGTATATATGTTAATCAGTTTTATGGAATTTAATGACAGATAATTAGGTCAATTTTCATGTTTTTTCTTTGTTTTCATATAATTGATGTAATTAAGAAACCAATTAATTTGTCTTGATCCAAAAGAAATGGCATAATATTAAAGGATATTACTCGTTCATTTACAAAACTTTATTTCATTGAAATTTTACAGGGATTCACAGAATTTTAAATTTACTGCTTAAACCAAGACGAGAGTAATCCTTCACTAACAACAGAGATATACAAGCAAGTTCATCCTCCAATAACAGCTGAGATATACATACACAAGCACATCTCCACTAACAACTGAAGCAGCTAGATCCACTCCCTTGTGCCAATATGTTCAGCAGTGTGGCTAACTATCTGTTTGGATCCTCCCAGCCAGAGGAGGAATCTGTAAAAGAGATGGAGCTGGAGACATCACCTGCCAAAGATGATGACTGGCTAATTGTCAATGTACAAGGTATGCACACAAATCAACAGATCCCACAGTAGGATTAATTCCCTTTAACATCTCATTCATCTTTAACTGCATGTTCAATTATCATTAAGAAAACAATACACTTATCTGCAAAATTTATCATAAATTTTAATATTTTTTTTTGTAAACGAATCAGATAAATTTAAATATTTATAATTTATTGTGGTCTCAATGTTTGCATGCCATTTGTTAAGGTGTCCATCATCTGTTAATCAGCACACCTATCAGTGGTACTTTAATGATATGTGTACTTATTTTATTTAATTCTTGATCCAACAACTTTGTGAAAATATCAACATAAAAATGATTATTATCCTTCAGAATAATACAGTCAATCTGATTGGTTTAGAGCATGTCGCATGCAGGGAGACAATTCATGATGTCTCCCCCATGCGCAGGGTCACAATTGTGTGCTCTCCCTTCAGATTACAATGAAAATGTGCAAGCCAGTGTGCAGGGTGACAACTTGTCTCCCTTTAGATGAAAATAAAATGTTGTAAGCGAGATAGCTCATATATATATATATATATATATATATATATATATATATATATATATATAAATATATATATATATATATATATATATATATATATATATATATATATATGAAGGATTGGTGAACAATTGATTTTAACGGTGATGTTAAAGTTGTCTGTTCACAGATTTCAAAAGTATGGAATCAAAGCAGTGGGTATGGGTGGGTTAAAGAGAACACAAGAGGTTGGACAGATATTTTCTTACTCTATTTAAGATTAAATCTAGATTCTTCAGGATAATAAAATATGTATGAACTGTTTAGAAGGGAGAATCACATATTATCAGGTCTGAGTAGGGTTGTCATCCTCATGGGTGACAACTGTACTCAGATCTGATAACCGGTGATGTCTCCCTTCTCAATAGTTTGAATCGTATATAATGAATTTTTTAAGTAAATAGAAGTACTGATATTACTCATTCATGATTGTGCAAACAATTAAGCCTCTTTATCAATTTAAAGAAATAAATTTATACAATGAAATAAGTACACATACAGTAAATTGCACATACTTAGTTGGCAAACTAGCTGACCCTTCAAAGTACACTGTATAAAGATTAGTTTTATGGTGCTGTAGAGCATGTTTTTTGGTATAGATTAGCATTAAGTAAAGTCTGTATATTTGCTGGGTGTTGTAAATTTGCTTACATGCAGAAGCAACTAAAAAAAAAAAAAAAAAAAAAAAAATCAACATATCAATATTATAATTTTTAGAACTGGTTGAAGAAAATAAATATAGTTTTTAAACATTTCAAACATATGAGATTATAAGAAAATTATGAAATTCAATTCAAAGGAAAAAAAAAATGAAATTATCTTACTATCAATATGTTGATTGTAAAGTACCAGAGGGAAAAATACATGAGTAGTGATTTTTGTGCGCAGTAAAAATAACATTGTTTTAACTTTCGGTATCTTGAGAGCAAATTGTAAATTACATGTTAAAAAGTTTATCTTTTCTTTAAGACATTGTGTCAAGAAAACAAAAAAAAAAGAATTTTTGGCTTGATTTAAATTCCTCATTAAACAGACCCTGGTAAAACTGCAAAGTAGAATTTCTCCTTGCAGATAAGACTACGTGTGTCACTGTACCATCAATAGGTCGTGTGTATGGGCATTCCCCCTATAATAGTGACAGCGACACTGGTGTGGGCCATGGCACGCCCAGTTCGTCTGGCGCCTCCACGCCTAACTCCAGGTTCTTTCTGCGCATGCATGAAAGTTGGATTTTAACCCCACCTCCTTGTTTTACTGCAGGCGGATCTTCATCACAGGTTCCTATGTCAGAGATGGAGAACCTTCTCATAGAACATCCCAGTATGTCTGTGTACAATAGTCACTGTTCCAGAGGAAGTTCAGGGGAGGACAGCAATCTTTCTGAGTCTTCCAATGATAATTTCAGCAATGTTGTGGCCAAACGGGGCCTCCGTCCAAGAAACAGTAAAGGACAAGTTGTCCGCCAACCCCCAAGGCGGCCTAATGCAGTTGCAGCTCGCTGTGGAATTCTTGCTCAAGTCGAGTCCTATAGATCTGCTCAGCGTGCTAAACAGTACAAGGAAACTCGCAACCTCTCCAAAGGCAGCTTAGATAGACACAACAAGAATACTGTTTGTAATGGCAAGAAATATAGCCAGAAAAACAGAATCCAAACCCCATCAGCACGCAGCTTCAACAACAAGCAGATGAAGCACTGAACATTTTGCCAAATAGTCCCTAACAACTCTGTTTTTAAAGAAAACTTTGTCATATATTTATATCCTTTTCCAATTTTTGTTTTAGTTTAGGTGAATTGGGTAAAATAATGTTTGAAACTGGTTAAAGTAAGATTTCCATAGTCATATTTCTGCACATTTTAATTGTGTCAAAGACAAACATTAATTTTTGTTGCCTGTTGTGTTGTATGTAGATAGTAGTATATTATAAAAATCATTCCATTGTTAGTTGGAATGTAAAAAAAAAAGAATTGTTAGATAATGTTTTAAATGATAGAAATGTATGTTGTTACAGCTTGTATCAGTATGATTAAGATAATGTTAACAACAGTTAAAGACTAGCATAGGTAAAATAACTCATATATATTTTGATTTTATTCAAAATGATAACATAGTAATTGCTTTTCTTGCAAACATATATTGGTGCATGATTTTTTGATATACAGGGAAAAAAATATACCCCATATCCATTGTTTTGTTGGGAAAACTCAATAGAACTCTTTTAAAAGTATTTATCCACCGAATGTACAAGCTTGCTTTCTAAAGAATAGCTACAAATGTTTTTTATCAGAACTTTTACATGTATAGATATATATATATATAAATAGAAAATGACTTTTTTTGAATTTTAAAGTAAATTTTAGCAGTTGTTACCACTTTTAAGACTGTGAACTGTAAATAGTTATGTAACATTTTAGTCCATCAGCATTTTATGTGCAATACCTGAGTTGATATACCCATAGTAACAGGAGTTCTTGTGTAGATATACCAGTTACACTAGATGTGAATTGTTGCCTATAATTAATATGTTAATGTTTCTTAGATCTCAGCTCATTTAATGTAATTAGTGGTCCCTTAAATCAATTTACCATCACTATCTATCTATGCAATGTGTTTTAGGACCATCTATTTAATCGAACTGAAGAGCCCTTAATGAAAGACTTTGTTTTAATAATTGTTTACCATCCTTAATAATGGTGCATGCTTGAAAATGAAACTCCTTACTCAGGAAGAATAAGTGTGAGTGAAAAACCAAAGATAACAGAATTATGAATGAGCTGCTTAAAAGTTTGCAGAAGAATAGCAACAAATGAAAAAAAGTGTATCTTTGAATTTTAGAATTTGTAATTTTAATAGAGAGAGAGAGGGTATATAGTTTAGCAAGTATTGAATTTTTTGTTACTGCGGTACAAGTTTGTTTGATGAAGTTTCTTCACAAAGTCTTTATTTGGTTTGTTATTTATCAAATTTCCAAAATGAAATCAGGCATCCTTGTTATTCATTATAATTATAATCATCTGTCATTTTATTACTTAAATTGTAAACGCATCCTGCTATATGCATTGGTATCTGATGTTTAAATAATTTTACAACTGTTATACAAGAGTTTGTTTTGGGTATTTTAGAATCTCTAATTTTTATCAATTTCTTCAAAAGTTGTTAAGTGAATTTTCTGGTAAAATGAATAGACTAAATGTGAGGTGATGTAATAATGGTTATTTATTTTATGTATTTTATTGCGATATTAAAACTTGCATTTTTAAAAGCTGTCATTGTCATATGTTGACTAACCGTGTATTCTGTGTTAATCTTTCGCGTTGAAAATTATAGTTATACATTTATTTTATCATAGGCCGATTTTGAACAGATTTTTTTTTTGATAAGACATTTTTTTTTTAATTTCTAATGTAAATGAGGACTACTAGTTTTCCTCACCCAGCCCCAGGATTCATTGTTTTTAATTTTAAATGTAAACTACACACGAATGTTAAAAAATATGAATTTGCTAGAAGATTGAAAAGGGTTTATATTTCCCTTATTTAAAACTTCGGATTCGTTTTTTGTAATAATTCAGATTTGACAAAATATGATAAATTCACTAGGAGGACCTAAGCCATGCCATTAAAATTAAACCTTTTTAGCTCTTTTTCTTGAGAATTTCAGGAAAAAGCAATTATGATGAAAAAGTCGTATGTTTTGAGCACACTGTTTTCCCCAATCCTGGTTCTTTGGTTGAACAACAAGGATGTGTTCAGACATGATAATTATTTGCATACATGTATGAATTATTACACTCATATAAAACTTTGATCCCATATATTTTAAACCCTACGTGTTTTCCTTCAGTTGTAAAGGGGGGGGGGGGGTAAAAAGAACTTTAAAATGAGAATTTTTGTAAGGAAAAGGTGCATTTTAATAATTTAGAAATACAATGTATATACCACACACAAAAATGCCATTCTTTGTATTTTAAGCTTGCCCTTAAGAGATTTTACTAGGATGTAAAGTAACAAATTTCCATCACATTTAGTCTAAGCTACTTTAAATTTCAAGAGATTTTGAATGAGGAAACCAGCAAGACAATAGTTCACAATTTTAGGAAATAAATAGATTAGCATTTATTTTCAAGGTAGGGAATATCAGTGCCAACCTAATGTCATTACCTGCTGAGAAAAATTGTATTACCATATTTAGTGGTATTTTAAAAAAAACATCTAGAAGCGGAACCCCCTAGCGAGTCACAGTATGGTATGCTATCTATGTCTGTTAATGACACGGGTGAAAGAATGTCAGTGACAGTAAACTTACCGATTCCCCGAGGACAAAACGTCAAGATGTCCACATACTACCCCAGGTATTTTTTTTCTCGGTCAGATGATTTTTATTTTTGCTAGTTATTTGTTAATTATGATGTAATTTAGTCGAGGTTATTAACTCTACTGATCAGCTTTTCTGGAATTCTTGTAAAATAATTTTAAAATGACATTCCCACAAACTTGTACATGTTCGTATATACATCTACTAAAACTGGGTTCGATTTTAATGCATGTCCATGTACCCATTGAATTGAAGGTATGTAGTGTAATGGGAATTTATGAATCATAAAAATGAATGACACATTATTCACAACGTCCTTAATTTTGATTCAGGACAACTTCCTAAAATTCAGCATATTACGAGATACAATACATAACACATCCTCAGCATTCACACGCACTCACGGTATTCTGACTCTTAGAGGACACTAACGTCTAGATTTACTGATATACGCACAGAGTCTTGAGATAATGTTGGCAAAAACTGGTTATACAGTATATTATTATACCTCTACTGATTTTTTTCCCTATATAACATTAGATCGTTAGATGTGACTAATTCCCTTAGAAACAAAAAGGGTCATTTTTTCACACTTTAACAAAACTTTTTGATATGAGTGGGTCTTTGCTCCATTTTTTTGAAAGTTAATCCTAAAAGTTTGCATAAAAGTATGCATTTTTGGATTTACAAAAATATGGAGCAAAGACCCACTATACCTTTTATGACAAAGCATTCGCATCTTTCCGAGAAATACTTGAAGTCCATTAAGTCAAGGGTCATATCACAAACATGATTTAAATGCCACTTTCCATCAGGAGCTGTGTAAGCGTAGTGGTTAGGGTGTTAGTCTCAAAGCAATATGATACTCTAGAATTTTATTGTTAGGGGTTCGAATCCAACGAATACCATTTTATTTTTTTAATAAAAGAATTTTTTCCGAGATCTTTTTTTCTCAGAAAAGTTTTGTTGATCATAATTTCATAGAATTCAATAATAAGAACTTTACTTAAAATACTTAATTCACAAATTGAATATAATTTTTTTAATATCTAAAGCTATAGGCATTCTGCACGCTTTGTTCACCCATCTGCAATTTATAGCTATCTGTAATTGAGGAGAGTGTATTTAAGATCTTTAGACTGTGAGTAAAAGCTTAAGAATTCAAACAGAATTAAGTAAATGAAGGTATTATATTACTAGTAAGTTTGATATGCGGTTTTATGAAAGAAGTTTTTGGTAAATAACTGTAAAAAAAAATTAAAACAATGTCGGTACTAGCAGGGACCTATATACTATAGTATATAGGTCCCTGGCACTAGTTAGTCCACCCAAACAGAGCAATCTCCCTTGCAGAGTTGTCGTTCGTTCCTCTCTCGGATATATGAGCTGATGCATAGTGCCAACAAAGATACTAGAAGCTCTTACTGGACACAGAGGTTTACAACAACAAAAGTCAAATATAATTATAATTAAACAATCATACAGCTTGTTCAGAATCTACGAGAACATGTAAAATTGCTATTTAAAACACATTTTATCTGATATGAAATTTTCCTATCAAACCAGCCTTATTTTTCATTTTCCCAAAATCCTTGTTTATATCTGTGTTGATATTCAATGTATTAATGAAAATAATAAATTGTTATTTAGTGTCAATCACATTTGCAGATCATATTGGAAATCATAATGACGAGCTTATCTGTGCTCCTCTGTGATTGTTGAAAACATGCATCCATCAACGAGTTTTCTTTACAATGTTTTTTGTTGTACATAGGAAAGAGTAATGTACTAATATAAACTACAAATGGTGCGTGTCAAACTTCTGCATTTTTTTTGTTTATAAAAAGATAGACTTGTCCTTATTTTTAACAATTTAAAAAAAGATGCATATTTTTAGGTCAAATATTATAAATGATTGTTAAATAAGATTGTTGATTGATTGATTGTATGTTGTTTTACGTCCCTGTTGAGAATTTTTTACTCATATAGGGACGTCACCATATACCCGTGAAGGGCTTTAAATTTAGACCTTTACTCGGCACTCAGGACCATTGAGCAGTGAGGGTTCTTTATCGTGCCAACGCCTACCGTGACACGGGGCCTCGGTTTTTAAGGTCTCATCCGAAAGACCCGCAACTTTCAATTCAAAGTGCCGAGCGCTTGGCAAAGGAACAGTTGCTACCTATTTTTTATCGACTAAGGTTAGTCGCGGCCGTGATTCGAACACACGACCTTCCGATCACGTTAAATAAGAAAACAGAAGTCAATATTTGCGCCGGTGTTGTAGAGCGAAATTTCCCGCCCCATAGTGAGACTTCCCACGGATGTCTCCCTCTAGAGTGAGCTTCCCCCCAAGGGGGTTGTCTTACTCTAGAGCCATACTTTCCCTCAGAGCCACCCCTCCCCCTGAAGTCTCGATAAAGAGTAAGACTACCCAAGAGGGGAAGGTTCACTCTAGAGCCTTACTTCCCCCTGGGAGAAATGATACTTTCCCCTTGGAGGATGTCATCCTACAGCCATGTTTATCCGTTGAAGTCTAGCTCTCAAGTAAAATCCCCCAGGTGAATTCAAAATTTGTCAATTCATTGGATAAAAATGGAGCATATAAAATGTGTTTTTAAGTAATTTATACAAAAAAAAAAAAAAAAAAACCAGTAACACATTAGATATTTTTTACAGTATATATGAATATCAACTCGTCTATTAATTTTTTAGTAGTACTGTACTCTTATATTAACTAATTTATATTTTATGCATATGAAAGTTTAACTCGCAGACAAAATGGCAGACGAACAGACCCAGATTTATATCTCTTACTTGAAGTGAAAGCGGGGCCGCATCAATTAAGGTACCGCTGTAAAGTTTTACATTGTAACAATCTCTACGGATATCACTACAAGAAATAACAACATTAATTGAAGAGGGAAGATCCACTATGGGGAGAAGACTGACTCAAGAATATGTTTTCCCCCGGGGAAGTGAGGCTCTAGAGTGACTTTTTAGGGAGTACTCCTGCTCTAGAGTCATTCATCTCCTTGGGGGAAGTCTCGCTCTATAGCAACACTTCCGAGGGAAGTCTCATCCTAGAGCATGGTTTCCGGGGGAAGTCTGACTAATTAAAGGGGAAATCTCACTCTACAACACCAATCTTCGAAATGACTACACTTTTTTATTGGTGAGACAAACTTACGAACATCTTAAGGGTTTTTTTTGGGGGGGGGGCGGTGGGGAGGAATTATATCTACTGTCAGAGGGTAGTCCCACCTTAAGTGTAAACCCCATTTTCATGTCACATATTTAAGATACCATCATCGGAAAAATATTTACTACTCATCGGGAAAATTTTGATATTTAATCTTGAAACACACAATTTACAAGTGATAACTATACTACAAAACAAATATCGATACTGGGAATTGATAAAAGTTCACTGACAAGTTCTATAATATAGTCCATGTCAACGTCCTTTCATTTTTATGAATGAAGTATGTCGAAGGAAAATATAAGTACCATATATAGAGCAATTGACATTGTTATACATACGTTATATAGTTTATGATAACTCGTCAAACTGAAAGGGAAAGCATCATACCATTAACACAATTTGGGAGAAGTTGTATAAAATCAGTGTTGACATCGCTGCAAGCTTTCCTTGAGCATATTATGATTGTGGAATATTGTTGTATTGGAATTGTTTCTCATGTTCTGATGACGATACGAAGCACCTGAGAGAAGAAAGGTGAGAATGTTTTACCAGTGAACTACTGGAAATGAAAGACGTGTCAACCGTCTTATTCTTTACAGAAAAAGACACACATTTTTGACTTACAAAATTACCACGGCAATGCCAAGATATTCTCCTGTGATGATTCACTGACATATGAAAAAGCAAGTAGTTTAAAAGTATTGTATATTTGGAAAACAACAGTGGTGTTTCTTTTATATTTACATTACTAATTTCCCTGATTAGCCTGCATTCACAATGCATTTTTTTTAAGGTGAAGTACATACAATACTAATGGAAAAATTAAAAACTTTTCCAGAAGCAAAGCAGTATTTCACAGAAGTTTGGTCTCCTGAAAGGAAACGGGTTATTGCAAATCTAACAAACATCAAAGAAATTGTCCAAGAGCAAGCCAAACTTTATTCTCTGGTTTCCATAGGATGCTCGAGTATCGGGATTCTTGGCGGAGGACTGACACTAGTTGGTATAGTCACTGCTCCGTTAACACTAGGCGTGTCCCTCGGATTTACCGAAGCTGGCATCGCTACAGGGGTAACATCCGGAGCTGCAGGACTTATCTATGGATGTATCAAACTCGGAATCGTTAAAAAGAAATTCAGTGATGCAAACTTTTGCCTTGAGAACCATAATAGAACGTCTGCAAAAATGAAAGATTTAATAAGAGTACTGAGAGAGGAGGGTGAAAGTTTAGAAGCCATAATAAAAGACAACAGGGATTTGGAAGTGTCTTTGGCATTTCAGGAAATTAAACGTGTCGGAGAAGCTATATCCGTTGTCACAGAAATATGAAATTTGATTAAGCACTCCCATGCTGTAGATGTGTTTACTGAAACCGGAAGTTCAGATGAGGTCGCTAGGATCTTGGGGCTTGGTTCATTGATGGATGATCTTATCCCGACTACACTCAAAGATATCTCCGGAGGAGTTGACTTTCGATAAAGGTCCTGAGCACGTTTTCCAACTTCGGAATCATGTTGGATCTTGTATCTCTATTTTCGAATCTCTGGGAGATATCTGGATTGGAAAAGGGAAAACTATGCAAGGAAGCAAAGAGGCTTGATGACATTCTGAAGATGTTGCAAAAAGAATATGAAATTTTGAGTGAATATTTTGAATAATCAGATAATTGCTTAAATATTTAAGATAGATAGGGCTTATCTGCATCACTGATCCTATAACGTTGTTTGAGCATATTGTTCTATAGTATATCTCTAACTTTTACATTTGCAAAGCATATGTAGTTTAATAGAACTTTTGTGACGGTACATGTTGTCATCCTGTACACCTTTCACCGGGGACAGTATGTACCTATCCCCACTGCACATATTGTCATTCATCGGTACGTATTGTCACCGGCCACAATATGTGCCGAAAGGAGCCATTTTTCCTCGATTCTGCAGAATGGACGACAAAATGTACAGTCACGCATCGGCAATGTTGTCCTTGACAACAATATGTACTGCGAACATTTGCACAGTTTGTCGCCAATTATTGTTTTGAAGAATATTTAATAGGGTCTTGAAAAGAAGAGAGACTAAAACACGCACACATACATTTTTACTACATATACCTCATTATGATTATTCTATACAATGCGTTATCTGATTGGTTTTGGATACCAGTAATCATGTGCATGGTCGTAGGAACCAGGGGGCACGGGAGGGGCGTGCCCCCAAATAATTTTGCCGATATATAGATTACTATAGTAAATAAAGATACTATATGCATTTGCCCCCTCAATAAAAACGTCTTATGACCTTTTTTTTATTTGCTTGTCAAGGAATTTTTGGTAGTTGATGACCCTTTTTCGCTTGTCAGGAAATTTCTGGTAGTGCCCCCTCAACTGTCAACTAAAAATGTATGGATGTGCCCCCCCCCCCTCCCAAACTGAAGTTGCTTCTTACGGGCCTGATGTGACAGGGTCATAAACCTTTGTTGTCATGCATTGCATCATTTTCAGCCTCTGCGGAGACCTTGTACATTTTCATATTATACTTATTCTTCGTTGAACGAAAACTTCATCTAATATTATCTGTCAAGCAGTGACTATTTTGAAAACTGAAAATGAATTTGAGAGTGGTGCCATGTTTGAAAGTATTTGTGTATTTTTAAAGACTTTTGTTTCGATATTACGAGGGTTGTCCGGTAAAATCATGGACACGCACTAAGCTGAAATCTTAATTTCAGCAAATGTTTTTCTGCTAGTATCATATTTAAGTATTATTATTTTGGGATAAAATATAGACAAAAATAAAGATTTTATTATGTTTAAATGTGCACAGGGTATGGTCCTACGGCGCACGATCAAAAAATCGGGGTTTCGAGTTTATTTCGAAATAAAAGTATGAAATAGATAAGGTTTGGGTAAAAATTATCCAGTGTTTTAATCCACTATCTATAATGTCGTCTTTTAGAAAATTTCAAGACATTTGCTCAATTTTTGACAGTTTCCTGAGCATTTGAAATGGGAAAGTGGTAATCACAACACACGAAAAATGGCGGCGTTTCATGACGTTATACGAGGCACCGGAGGGAAGTTCAGCTTGATTTAGATGTAGTAATACTTTAAATGACTACAGAAGAAAAATATATAAAATATATCTTTTTTTTTTTTTTTTTTTTTTTTTATTTACATTATCCATTGTATACATGTCAATATATAGTTACATATAAATATCTACAAGGCAGTATACAAAGGATTTTTTACACAAACATTCACACATCCACTCGCACATATCGGATTGAACTGGAATTATACAGAAGGAAATTGAAGGCTGCGTTAAAAAGAATTCACTATATCAATTATTCTTCAAAAATAAAAAGCAGTTATCAAAAACAGATATAAAACATTCAATAATATTCAGTAGATTAATTGGCTTTAAACAAAAACAAAAACATGTCAACTGGGTTCAAACATTTTCTTCCATAAGTCCCATTTTTTATCAAAAATTGACAGTTTAGAGTTATAAATTGATACAGATCTCTCAATGTTATATTTAATTTTCAAATGATTTATTAGACCAAGAATGTTTGGCTTTTTACACTGTAATGAGCAAGTAAAAATATACTGCTTTGTGTATAATATAACAAAGTTTATAATTAAGTTATCTTTAGTAAGTGATATTTCACCCAAAATAATATTTTTGATATTAAAACCAATTCTTTTAGCAGTTGTTCTATAGATATACATACTCAAATTTCTCCATAAGTCCACTATGTCATTACAAGTTACAAATATATGTTGAATAGTTTCAGTATCCTCCTTACAAAATTTGCATGAATCAGATGTTTTAATGTTAATTTTTTTGAGATAGTAGCCAACAGGAAGAATTCTATGAAGAAGTCGGTATTGAAACCACTGTACAGAAGAATCATTTGTAGTCTTGAAACACACTCGAAAAACATCTTGTGTGCATATATCATTCACTCCATGAGAGAACAACTCTAAATTCCACTTTGAAATTGCTGTAGGCTTTGTACAACTTTTGTTTATGACATTGTAAATAATTTTTGAACATTTTGCATTTAACAAAATATATTCAAAATAAAATGGTAAATAAGGCAGACAACTTTTCTTCATTTTTGTTCTCTTAATTGCCAGATTTTTTAAGCATTTTGCAATAGCACAAATAACACTATTGTACTGCATTACATTTAGAGAAGGAAGATTGAAATTTTGTTGAAAAGCAGACTTTGAAAGAAAGATACAATCTTCAGACATAAAATCTCCAACAGTTTTGACACCTTTTTGATACCAATTTTCTATAAAAATACTCTTATTTTCAATCTTTATGTTTGAATTGTACCATATTGGAATATTACAAGCTTTATTTTTCATATCTATGTCATGTTCCACTTTTTCCATAACATACTGCCAAGAACTAAAAACATCAGACCAAAATGGATTGTTTTTTATCATTATGACATTAGAGATGTATTCGTCCCCAAAATCTAAAATCTGTTGTATAACATTATTTCCATTCACTGCTAGAAATATATCAAACCATGGTTTCTTTCCTGCAATCAACAGTCTTTGGACCCAAGTACATTTCAAGGATTTTATAAAATTCTCAATATTTACCATCTTTAAACCTCCAGCTAGATATTCCTGAGTAGCTATAATTCTCTTAACCTTGTCACATTTTGATTTCCATACAAATTCAAAGATATCTTTATTTAATGAGGAAATTTTGTCAATGCTAGGTTCAGGAAGAGAAATAAATAAATGATTCAGTTTTGGTAAAATTAGGGTTTTTACAACAGTGACTCGACCAATGGGCGTTAGTATTCGTCGATTCCACTGTTGAATCAGAGATTTTACTTTGGGTAGAACTATATTATAATTTGTGTCTGTAATTGTTTCTAAATCAACAGAAAAATTAATGCCCAGCAAGGAGAAAGTTGTTGACCCCCAATCTAACTTCCATCTTGGATGGTGAAAAACTTGGTTTGAAAATTTTTTTGAGCCAATCCAAATAATTTTTGTTTTAGTACTGTTTATTTTTAACCCAGATAAACGTGAAAAAAAATCCAAGGTATCAAGAGCAGCAAAAAGTGATTTTGGTGAACCATCAAGGGCGAGCGAAGTGCCATCAGCATATTGGGAAATTTTGTGTTCTTTGTCCTGAATAATTATGCCTTTAATATCTTTATTTTGTTTTACAAGAATAGCAAGGATTTCAGCACAGAGGAGAAATAAATAAGGTGCAACAGGATCTCCCTGTCTACAACCTCTCTGAATATGTATTTGTTCAGATAAATGTCCACATTGTAGGACAGATGCTTTAAAGTTTGTATTTAAAATTTTGATCCAATCAATGAATTTATTCCCAAAACCAAAATAATTCAGTACTTTGTAAATAAAAGACCATGATATTGAGTCAAAAGCTTTCTCAAAATCAATAAGAACTAAGAGACCTGGTATATTTCTTGACTCTGTATATGACATAAGATCATAAATAAATCTTGTATTTTCACCTATATATCTACCTTTGATAAAACCAGATTGTGTATCTGAAATAAGGAAGTCCAAGGTAGTCTTTATTCTATAACTTAGGCACCCAGATATAAGTTTATATAACACATTCAATAGAGTTATTGGTCGCCAATTCTTTAAATATTGTCTTGGTTTGTCACCCTTTGGTATGCAAGAAATAATGCCAAGCCTTTGTGAAATTGGCAATTCTTTCTTACAGAAAATACAATTTATTGCTCTTAGAATGTAACATTTTAAGTCTTTCCAAAAAAATTTAAAAAATTCAGTAGTGAAACCATCACTTCCAGGTGATTTATTATCTTTCATATTTTTCAGAACATCTAAAACTTCACTTTCAACAATTTCCTTTTCTAAGTGGCCAGATGTTTTCTCATCAAGTTTTTTACTCTCAGATTGATCAATAATATCAGTGAGATTCAAATCAATAAGTTCCGAGTCTCTATTCGAATATAAATTTTTGTAAAAAATTTTAACTTGGTTTAAAATTTCAAACTGATCATAAATAATATTATTTTCATCAACGTCAACCCTTTTTATTACTTTGTTTATGTAGTTTCTAGATTCTAAGTTGCAAAAATATTTTGTGGGCTTTTCACCTTCTTCAACCCATCTAGCACGAGATCTTATTAAATGACCTTGCATTTTTTCAAGAGATTTAAATTTTCAAGAGATATTTTTTTATCTTCATAAATAAATGTATTGCTTTTATTTTGTAACTCCATATCTTCTATTTCTTCTATTAATGACTTTTCAAGTTCATCTCTCTTCTTTTTCTTATATGAGGAATATGAAA